TACTGCCATAGCTCACTGAACTGAACAAAATATGAAAGGTAGCTCGTTGAATTGAACAGTTTCATTTTTAAAGGCACAACTGTATGTTTGTTTGTTTATTTTAACATGGTCCCAAAGGTAACTTGGATTTTTTTATTATTATTATTTTTTTTAAACTCTACAGTCTACTTTCGAGTTACTAATCCTTAACAAGTCAAGTACCATTAAACAAACAGGCACAATTTAGAAAATCCCACAAATTTTGGCATCCTGCTCAGCCCCTTGCCAACACACCAAGAGTGTGTCAAGGCCCCCCAAGTGGATAAACCCAAACGCTAAATCTAAGTGTTGGGATGTTCTCCCCCTCTGGATGATAACCACAGAAGAAAGAAGGGTGAATAGATCTAGAGACACATAAAGAAATACTGTGGCCTCGATTTGGCTCAAAATGCTGGCCACCAGGCATTTCAAAATGCCTCATATCAGTTTATTAATAAGAATTCTTAGTAATTCTTAGAATTATTTCTTATCCCTGCTGGCCTAGGAGCTAAGTCTGGGCAGCATCACTCTGTGAGAGTTGTGACCTAAGTTCCTTCCCCAGTCAGGGAGCTTACCCTCTCCCATCTCGCCGCTGCTCCCCTCAGCAGTGTATTTCAGTAGCTCCACCTGTTCCACTCCCCACGGTCTCTAGTGAATCCTCTCACCTCCATACCTCTGGCCTACTCTGATATAAACCTAAAACCATACTTTAGGTAATAAAAATTACATTGAAGACATTCTCCCTGAATGGTAGAATCTTCCAGTGTCTGGAGAGATTTCTCTAAGCATACAAAACTCTTAGCAGATAGTAAAGAACAGTGACAGCCTTGCTCCAAGCTGTGTTGTATGATTCCAGGACTGCAGAAAAGACATCTGTGCTATGTTTTTAAATAGATGTAGAACTGATCCATATTAGTCACTGAACGTGAAGGTGTGAGCAAAAAAGAAAAGTTGAAAGAAAAGCAAGATGAGAGACATGAGGGCTGAGCATCTGGATGAGGGTGAGGGTGAGCTTACCAAGGCTGCAGCATGAAATAAGAAATACATTTGTGGTTATTTAGTCATTCTGTTTTTTGTTTTTGTTTTTTTAAGATTTATTTAAGTATGCATACAGAGCTGGGGTATGAGCCAGAGGTGCATGGGCAGTGAGAGGATTCACCAGAGACAGAGTGGGGAGCAGAACAGGCAGATCTATGAAGTACACTACAGAGAGGAGCAGTAGGCAGGTCAGGAGGGGTCTACCGCACCATGTGGGTCACCTCCAGGGTGGGGATCGAACTCATGCTGAAGTGGCTTTTGCTTCTTAGTGCTGCGCTTTAAACTGCTGCACCACCAGGGAGGGCCCATTCTTAATCCTACCTAAATCTCCCTTTAGATGAAATCACTTTCATTGTTAGAGTGGACTGGTTACAGAGCCCTATCATGAATAGGGCACTGGACATAGATATAGAAGAAAAGCTGAGCATGAAAACACTGGATTCTTAGTGTAAAGAAGTTTTTTGGTCAATTTAAATGGAATAATTGAAAGTGAGTGTGACTGGAAATTAATTATGATAGTAAAGAAGGCTATGATTCGCTTGTACTGAATCAGCTATCAGCCTGAATAAAACAAGCTTACCAAGAGAAGTGCAACATGGTTAAGCCTGAGTTTTAAAATCACTAGAAAAATATTAGACCAGGCCCACCTTGGAGGCACAAGGGGTTAAAGCACAGCACTGCAAGCGAGCCACAGCCACTTCAGTGCGAGTTCGAGCCCCAGCTCCAGAGGTGACCCACATGGCACAGCAGACCTCGCCTGTCTTGCCTGCTGCTCCCTCAGCAGTGTACTTCATAGATCTGCCTGTTCTGCTCCTCACTCTGTCTCTGGTAAATCCTCTCAGCCCCTGCACCTCTGGCCTGCAGCCCAGTTCTTTATGCATAAACAAATAGTTTAAAAGAAAAATATTAGACCATTTAAAGTATATTATCTACATTATCTGACTTGAAAGTTACAACACCCTTTGACAAGATTGAAGTTGCAAAGACCTTCTTCTTAAGTTTCCTGTCTCACAATATTTTTAAGACTGACCCTACATAGAATAGTATAATTAAGAACTAAATGTAATGGTAACATTTACCCCAGATAATAAATATATGGCCTCTTTCCCTCTATGTGGGGTCACAGAATGTTGATGGTGAGGGTCAAAGCCAATGCCAGGGTCCACTCTAACAACATTGGCCACCTTGGGATACCATCAAAAACCATCATCCGTCACCCTGTCCTACCTGGATGCTTCCCTCCAGCTTCCCCCTTTCCCTCAAATGCAATTTCTCCTCCACGATGTCTGTTGCCCTTTCACTTCTACACACCTTTCATTTTGAGGTAAATTAGAGGAGCAACGGCTGAAAATATGAACAGGGTTGAGTGGTATAAAAATCTCATCCACCAATATTGGCAATTTATTACAATCATTCTTAGGATTTAGTATAATCATTATTAGTACCTTAAGCCTAACCATTACTAGCTCTCAGTAGTCATTCATCACACACTTACTCAAGTGACATCCACTACGTTCAAAGTGCCTCGTAAGCAGTAAGAGAAACCAACAGTATCTTTCAAATACTGGTTGGCAGCTGGTTTACTTAAATATGTCCACCCACACTGTATTACAATGATTAATTTTTAAAGAAATGGCTAAATGAAGATATTAATTATTTGTATATAATGTGTATGCTCTCGTGAACACCATTATATTTTAATTTACTTTTTAATGAGTATGCCAATATAATTTTAAAATTATTTCCCATCTGGTGTGCATGCTAATAAAGAAATCTAGTACCTTGTGCCATATCGAATTTAACTTTTTGTACATTCTAATTACCTAGTTTTGAAGAAAATCAAACTTTTGCAAAATGGATTTATCCTTCTTACTTTTTAAGTCCACGTGCAGAGTCAGTTAGTTGGGAGAAAAACAAAGCACCTATTTTTGGAGGTCTTAATATGAAAACTGAATATTGTACACAGTTATCTCTTGTCATTACCTTAATCATGCTCATGTGAAACTGAAATACAAAAAGAAAAACTGATTATCTGATGGAATAAATAATGGCTCTGAATCATCCCAGAACTTCGATTTTATTCTGCCTCATTCCGGTGGGAAATATGATGATCAATTCCTCAGAAAGTATATAAGCCACATAGAGTATGTATTATAATTTTCTTATTTCCTGCTTATTTATGAATTACTCACCAAAACAGCACAATTATCCCTTGTACCACAAGGATTTACACAGAGCCAGACACGTGAGCTATTAACACTGAAGTGGTGATATTTACCAATCCTGAGAACATTCTGGCTCTTGACCAGGTCCATCCCTATCATTGTAGAGAAAACCAAATGAATTCTAAGATGTCCCTGCACAAAAGTTTAGCTCCTGTCTTTCCAAAATCAAAGACAGGGCACTTTTCCACATTCAGTTCTGTCACTCTGACTTAATATACTTTTATCTGGGTGGTGCTGATGCTAAATTTGATCTAAGGACTACAATTGGAAATGCATTTCCCTACACCAACCAATTGTTATTCATTCTAAAATATATTTGGAAGTACAGTGAATCTTTAAGATAATGGAAAGAAAATGAGATTGAGTGCTAAAAGAGATCCTGTCTCTTGGTTGCTTAATGACATCTACAATTGCCTTACACCTCTGGAGGTATTGGTGAAATGAAAATGATAAAGAGTAGACCCTATAAATGACACGAGAGAATCACAAACTAATGAGTGTGAAAAATCACCAGCACCAGAATAGTTCGTTATTTGTGTGTATGACAAAAGTGGTTTTCTTTTGAAAATCAGCTATCCAAAAATAATATTAATCATCACATAAACCTACAGTTTTTGCACAAAATTAATACCATAGCCCTGGAAATATTTTATTTTTTATTATTTTACATCATTCTTCATTTTGTGCAATTTTTCATTTCAGTTGTAACCCCCAGGAGCTTCCCACCACCAATTCACCCGTGTGCCATCCTGGAAATATTAGGATATGAACCAGGCCTGGGTTTTCTCTGAAAATAAACTTAAATGTGTACATGTATTTTGCAAGTACATTTCCATCCACAGATTTTTAAAATAGCATTTATTCTTTTACTGTTACTTCTTTCTGAACCTTAAATTAGCATATCTTCTTTTCATCTAATTAATTCAATTGAGTAACAAATTATTTTTTATAAAGCTTTCTAAACTACTTTTCTGTAATGACTCATCCATGAAAACACTTTTTGTATTCAGAAGTCTGTACCTCTGTTTTACTCTTTAGACAACTGCGTAATCACCATATAGCTTTAAAAATTACTTGCTGTGTCACGCAACCGAAAGCCAATCATTTCACTCATTGCTTTATTGAGGGAAGTGTCCAATGTAACGGGATGGTGGTAGTAGGTTTTCTATGAAATTTGTGGTAGATCTGGTAATCAGTTACTAAGTACATGGATAATTTGCCTCTTCAGTTTCATAATGCTTTTACAGACTTACTCAGCCTGTGTTATGTGAGTTACTTTTCCTTACCAAGACTGTTCCTGTCTCTTGCTTGTCTCTAAATGGAGATAAGACTACTTCAGAAAATGCTCTACATTTAGTTCTTAGAACAATGTCAGGTACAGAGCATTTAGTAAGTAATCACTATCGTTACTGTTTCTACTGCTTAACTGTGTCAACATGTGACAGACAGGAGAATGCATTAAATGCTCAGAATGCTTTATTTTCTTCTCCCTTCCTTAATACCGGTTTGTTAAGTTAAACTGTCTCTGTCAAGAAGAGTGTTTTGTGCACTGTCTATCTGACATATGTTAAGAGGTTACCATTTGCTAACTTGATTTAATTCTATACAATTTTCTTCTTCCTTTTTCTTCCCTGCCTGTCCATCTGCCTTCTTTTCTTCCCTCCTCCCTTCTCTGTCTTCTTTTTTCCTTCTCTTTCCCTATTGTTTTTTCCCAAGCAGATATTATTTTGAATTTCCGAACAACCTATGTCAGCAAGTCAGGCCAAGTTATCTTCGAAGCAAGATCAATTTGCATCCACTATGTCACAACCTGGTTCATCATCGACTTAATCGCTGCGCTGCCCTTTGACCTTCTGTACGCGTTCAACGTCACAGTGGTAAGAACCGACTTGGGAAGTGATTACTTTTCATGTGTACAGGTTTTAAACGTTTTTTGGCAGTGTGTGGATTCAGGATTTTTCTGGATATACAAAAAGCTTGAATTTATGCTCAGTACTCACGAAACAAATCTTTGGCTAGGAACTCATCTGTAGCAATATGAGCATTGCTTTATACTTGCTTAGATAGATGTTTGCCTGAAAATTTTGGTGTAGACGCTGAAGATGCCTTCTGCTTTTACGGTCTTTTTTTAAACACTCTAACTCTTGAGTATCTCATTATTCATTGAAAAAGAAAACCAAAATGACTGATCACGATAAAAAAAAAATGCTGAAATTAAAGTAAAGGAATTCAATCACTCATTAGAAGTACTTGTAAAATTTGAATGCAGCAGAAAGCTGCATGATACATTGCCCAATCTATACTTGAGAGTTCCCTGGGGTTTTAGTAATAACCGTAACTCCACCTCTTGCTTCTTCTAAAGACTTTGAATTTATGACTCCCAATACAATACAAAGGTACATCTACTTGTAGTAGAAGCTATTTTTACTATTAAGTGATTGATAGTCTTAAAAATCATTAAGTGCTTCCTTATCATAGAGATTCTAAGGAGTCATAACAGCACTTTGAACCAGAAATGCAGTTGCTGCTATCAACTTCAGAAGGCAAAAGTTTACTAACCATTTAGTCCAAATTAATCATCTTCCTAATTAGTTGGCACCCCCTGGAGAAATTACCTTTTTTATCCAGAATTCAAAAGCATAATTTTCAACATTAAGCAAAATAATTTTTCGAATACAGTCATTATTGACTTGAGAATAAACTAGTCCTCATAATTTGTTTTCTTGGAAAGTAACTATAACACTGTAAATAAGCTTTTCTATTCAAATCATGCAGTTCACCCTGACTAACATATTTGGAAGAATAATAAATTTATGTGCTGATTTGTTAAGTGATCATAAGCTCATGCCTATGAAAATCAGCACAATATCAGAGATTAGAGACAGTCCATCTTCCTGATCTCGTTTCTGACATATTTATTAATTCTGCATGAAGCATTTATGCCAGATTCACAAGTCGGAATGAGGAAAGGGAGCAGAGGAACATAGAAAGTGTCAAGTACTTAAGCTTCTTCTGAATAGGAGAATTAGACTTTAAAAAAAAACCTTTATTCATGTTAATTTTAGGCAATGAGGATGTTAATATAAAAACATATGTAAGTATATATTTTTTGATATAACATAATTAGACAATATACTTTAAATTATCCTATTTAATTAACACCCCAAAAGAGAAGGAATATAAAAATATTATTAGCATTTAGCTACAGAACAGCAAATTAATGTGGAACAAAATCTATTAAATATCACTTATTTAACAATCTTCCAGGAGAATTTGGAAACGTGTTTTAGCATTTTGTGTAAGATATGCTTCTTTGGGATTTTTTTTTTTTGATCTTGTAAAAACCTTGTTTTAAATCATTATACTTTCATTATAGTACACTTATCTAGTCAAATTCAATCGCAAAGGCGCTTTAAAAAGCCTGGGTAAAAATTCACTGTAGCACTGATTGATAGCATATACTAGGTTCTTCTCCAGAGCTTTTTTTTCAGTTGAGTTACAAACCTCATAAAGATATTGACATCTTCAACTTTCCAACTTAAAAAAAAAAAAGAAAACAAAAACACTACTGTCTAGGCAATCAACAAATGCACAAATCTATAGTATAGGTTTACATACATATATTTTTATACATAAAAATATTTATACTACAAATTTACAAAAAGTAAGGAAGGAGCAAGTAAATAAAGGTGGCACTCGACCAAATTCAAGGTGTGTCTGGTTGTGGTGTCTCCATAGATGACAATCAAAAATGAATGTAACCTCCAAAAATATAGTGTGTGTTAGGGTTAGGCCTGCCCATATATCTGTGGATACCAAGTGTTTTATACAGTTCACACATGTGTTCATTAAGATCTGTGATGTATTAGTCACTACGAAAAGGTACTAGGGGAGGTACAATTATGAATGAGACATAGACTATATGACAGTGAAAAAAGCAAAAGTATGAATCCTGGTTTTATTACCTGAGTAACTTCCTTGCTGAACGTAACATCAGACTAGACCTAAAAGTGGCATAAAAAATTCAGGGTTCCAGAGCAGCCTATCAAGGCAACTTTGCCATAAAAACCTTGCTACATGTCTAACACCTAAAAGAACCTCAGTATGTGTTAATGAGCTCTTTCTCCTTCTCCCCACAAGCGGAGTCGGGTGGTGGACTGTCCACTGGGTAACAGAGGAAGCTGTTATTTGGTAGGGGGTCTTGATGATCACAGCACTGCCTTGTACCACCCACAAGCAACTTATAATTCCCATCAGTAACAAATTCAGAACAGCATCCCTAGTAAAAAGAATCTCTTCCCTTTTTCCGGGTAGATAGTTACATGTACATCAAATATTCCTCTCTTTTCTGTCGTTCACCAAGAGCCAAAATTCATCTAGATAGCAGGAAGCCATTGGCTCAGATGAAAGCAAGTAAAATTATTTTTTAATGTGTCAACAAAATCAGGACAGCCTCATCCTGGATACCCAAGTTCAAGCCCCTATTCTATGCAAGTGACTATTATTCTTACTGGAAAAAGCCCACATTTTTTCCAACATCCCTTTTCTGGTCAGAGGAAATCAGGAGATTGCTTGCATCAGTAATATAGATGACGTCAATCTGCTTGGATTGCCATGACAAAATAGAAACTGGGTGTTTTAAACAACAGACTTGTTTTTTGCACTTCTGAATGCTGGAAAGCGCAAGATCAAGTTTTTCGCTGAGTTGGTTCTTAGTGAGTGATCTTCTCTTTTTCTAAATGGCTATCTTCTCACTGTGTCCACATGTAGTAGAGAGGGAGGGATAGAGATGGTGGAGAGCAGGGAAAGGAAGAGTGAGGTCTCTGTCTCTTCCCATCAGGACAGTAACTCTACTGTCAGGACATCATTCACTGAGTTTACCCAAACTAATTAACCCCCAAAGCCCCATCTCCAAATACCGTCAATTAACAGTTAATACATGAAACTTAGTTCATAGGATGGCTTACTTTATTTAGGGCTCCAGGTTTCATTTTACGTATAAAATTGTCATCTAGGGCCCTCCCTGGTAGTGCAGTGGGCTAAAACTCAGCACTGAGAAGCTAAAGCCACTTCAGCATGAGTTTGATCCCCACCCCGGAGGTGACCCACATGGCACGGCAGACCGCTCCTGACCCACCCACTGCTCTCCTCAGCAGTGTACTTCATCAGTCGGCCTGTTATGCTCCCCACTCTGTCTCTGGCGAATCCTCTCACCGCCCCTGCACCTCTGGCTTGTACCCCAGTTCTGTATGCATAAATAAATCTTTTTAAAAAAAATTGTCATCTAGCTATCAAATTCATCATTGTATAAATCAACTCCTCTTCAGGAATTTCTCTAAGTTACACAGTAGAAACTGCAAAGTCCAGCATGTGGCCATCTGACTACTAGTGAAAATGATAGATGAGAACTTGGCTCTAAAGGAGGAGAAAGTAAAACTTGACAGCAAAAAAAAAGAGAACAGCTGGAATGTTTCTCAATTGATCTTATGATTTTATTATATTTCAGAATAGAGCCTCCCAGAATGATAATGGAATGTATTTGTATTGAATATCTATTGTTGTATTAGCTTGAAGTGTGTGGGTTTGTTTCTTGTTGTTGTTGTTGTTGTTTTTCAGTTTAAGTAATATTGGTTCATAACACTGCATAAATTTTGGGGGTATAGCTTTATCCTTTGACATCTATCTATACTACATTATGATCGCCACCAAAAGGCTAGATTCCATCCACCACCAGGTGACCACTTTCACCTGTTTTTTTAAAGATTTATTATTTTGTGTGTACAGAACTGTGGTACAGGCCAGAGGTGCAGGGGCGGTGAGTGGATTCACCAGAGACAGAGTGGGGAGCAGAACAGGCAGATCGACGAAATACACTGCTGAGGGGAGCAACGGGCAGGTCAGGAGAGGTCTGCTTTACCATTTGGATCTCCTCTGGGGCGGGGACTGAACTCATGCTGAAGTGGCTTTAGCTTCTTAGTGCTGTGCTTTAACCGGCTGCACCACCAGTGAGGACCCCCTTTACCTGTTTTTTTTTTTTCCCCCTTTACCTGTTTTATATTTCCTCACCGTCGTTCCCCTCAGGTGTTCCTGCATCCCACTTTCAGAATCTCAGAGTTTGTTAAAATTTTGTTCTGTTTACTTGCATTGTTTCTTCATGTTCCCCAAATGAGGGACATCATAGGACATCATTTATCATTCTCTGTCTGACTTAACTCACATAAACCCCTCAAAACCCATCCATGTCTGTCACAAATGGCTAGATTTCATTTTCTTTTTATAGCTGAGTAGTGTTTTATCATGTATAAGTACCACATCTTCTCGGCCCCTTCATCTGTCTGTAGGCAACTTAGGTTGTTTACATATTTTGCATAGTATAAACAATGTTGCAGTAAATACAGAGGTGCATTTGTCTTCTGGAATTAGCATTTTCACATTCTTTGGATAAACACCAGCAGTGGAATAGCTGAATCCTTTGCTAATCCAACCTGATCCTTTAGAGAAATCTTCATATCATTTTCCATAATGATGCATCAAAGTGCTTCCTTACCCACAAGCTGAGGATCCCTTTTTCCATGTCCTCACCAACACAGGTTCTTGCTGGTAGCCATTCCAACAGCTGTGAAGTGATACTGTCTTGCAGTCTGGATTTGCATTTTCCTAGTGATAAGTGAAAATGAACTTGTTTTCATATGCCTGTTTTCATCCATCTTCTTTGCTGGAGTGTCTGCTTAGATCTTTGTGCCCATTTTATTTCTGTTGCTAATTTGGATAAACTGTTCATCAGTTGCATCTATCAGCCCCCTGTTTTGGATGTATGATTTGAAAAACTCTTATCCCATTCAGTAGGCTACATTTTCACTGTAATGATGAGTAGTTTTGTTGTGTAGAAGCTTTTTAAGTAGATGTTTATTTTGGCTTTCTTTTCCTTAACCAAGGCCAATGTCAAGAAGCTTTCTCCTATAATTTCTTCTATGTATTTTATGGTTTCAGGTCTTACATTCAAGTTTTTAACTCATTTTGAATTAATTTTGTGTATGGGATAAGCTGGTGGGCAATTTTCATTATTTGAATGTGACTGTTGTTTCCAAAACTTCTATAAGATATGACCTTGTTTATGATTCTGTTAGATAATATTCTAAATGAAAAAATTGTTGTTGGGTATAATATGCCCCTTTCCTTTCTTCTATTTTGATATCCCCTAGAAAAATTAAAGCCAAAGACCTAAACTCTATAATGAGAATTTTTGTTTGTATTTTCCACTTTAGAATGTTCTTTGTGGCTCTCTGAGGGTGTGAAAAGAGTGTAAATTACATGCTCCACATTTTTTTAAAGATTTATTTACTAACTGACTTATTTATTTATGCATATAAAAACTGTTGTATAGGCCAGAGGTGTGTGAGGGGTGGGGGTGGGGATTAAGAGAATTCACTAGAGCCAGTGGGAGACATAACAGGCAGATTGACTAAAATGCACTGTGCAGGGGAGCAGCATGCAAGATAGCAGAGGTCTGCTGGGCCATATATGGGTCAACTCCCTGGCCGGGGATCGAACTCAGGTTGTAGTTGTAATAGCACTGAGAGAGATTTAACCTCTCGGTCACCAGGGAAGCCCACATGCACCACTTACGTTCTTGATAGTTCTTGACAGAAATGACATTGTCCATTTTGTTGGACACTAACGATGTATTTTTTTTTTCCAGTTAGATTCCTTAGTTATTTCTAACTCATGCTAAGGCAGAACCTATGACTCCTATGCCTATTAATAACGTTAGAAGGAAGATCATATGGCAGAGGAGGTAGAAATGCTACTGATACTGGTGAGAAGACCTTACTCGTCTTTTAAACCTAATTATTTTAAAAAGTACCATTCAGGTCTTCCCTGGTGGCGCGACAGGTTAAAGCACAGCCCTGTGAGGCCATCCCCAGCCACTAGCAGCACAAGTTGGATTCCTGGCCAGGGGGATGACCCACATGGCACAGCAGACATCTCCTCATCCGCCTGCTGCTCCCCTCAGCAGTATATTTCAGTCCATCTGCCTGTTCTGCTCCCCACTCTGACTCTGGTGAATCCTCTCACCCCATGAATGTCTAACCTGTACCCCAGTTCTTGTTTGCATAAATAAGTACATTTTGAAAAAAAAAGAAAAAGAAAAATGAACTGTTCTACTTTTATTATCATTTTACAGACTTTTACTTTAGTCCATCTGAATTATTTTTATAAAGTGATCCATTGCATGGAGTACAGGGCAAGGAGTAGAAGACAATGTATGTAAAGGGTAGAAATAGCTCATGTTCATTCCTGATGCCATAATATATGTCCATTGTGCACCTGAATATATAAAATTATATTAAAGCAAGCAGGTAGAGAAAAAATTACAAATATCACTTAAGATAAGTATTTACTCAAAGTGATTAAAGTGCCTTAGCCCTCTCTATCCTGTCATCTCCTACAATAGTATGTCCAAACCCCAGAAACAGTCATAAAAGATGACCATAGTTTTGCAATCACAGTTATACCTATTCCAAGAACTTTGCAGAAAGACCTTAAGTCAAAGTACCTGCTGGGGCCTGAAGTCAACCCAGGTGCCAACTTGTGCTTCCTGTCTCCACCACAGGTGTCTCTTGTACATCTCCTGAAGACTGTCCGCCTGCTGCGTCTCTTGCGTCTCCTGCAGAAGCTAGACCGTTACTCCCAACACAGCACAATCGTCTTGACTCTGCTTATGTCCATGTTTGCGCTCCTCGCACACTGGATGGCGTGTATCTGGTATGTCATTGGAAAAATGGAGAGGGAAGACAACAGCCTTCTGAAGTGGGAAGTTGGTAAGGGCTTACATTTGTCATGTTTTCCATTTTTAAGTGAAAAGGAAGAATTTTCTAGAATCTGGGCAGGTGGAAGATGAGCCTAAAATACATGTCCTGTGTTGATTTGTCTCATCATTTTTTGGAGGTCTGGGGACCCCTGTTATCAGTGCTATTGTTGGATAAAGCTTTTGGGGAAAACCTTATGTTTCCCCAAAGGGTAACACACTGGACATCCTGTAGGTCAGTGATCAGCAAAGCTGGAGAAGTGCTTATATAAGTAACGTATGGTCTCACCTTGACTTATTTGATTCAGGGTTGGTAACAGTATATCACTGAATCCCTAACTCAGGCCAGTGTTATTTTAAATCCTAAGAAATCTACCAGTCATATTTAAGGTGACAAGTCATTTGAAAATATATACCACTGGTAGACAGAATGACAAATCGAAATACAGATTTACAAATATGCTGTACAGTTTTTTTCCCCTACAGTACATGGGAGCTTAACAGACATTTATAAGAGTTACATAATCTGCATAAAGGAATTTGAAAATTTCTGCACATGAACACATTTTTAACTTATATTAATCACAAGATCTTTATAGAAAATAAAAAGCCTATATAATCCTCTATCCTAACGCATCTGCCATCTTCCCAGTCCATCCCCATTAAAGAATTGACATTGATGCTATATATTTTCCCTTAAACTCACATTGTGTGTGTGTGTTTCGTGGTTGACATGAAAATCCTTCATTATTTGTTCCTTCAAAAATCAATCCTGACTTTTGAAAGCTCAGACCTATGTGTAGGAAAAAAGCCATGAAATTCCCAAGAAAAAAAAAAAGCTCTCATTTTTCATACCAGCCCTTCGTGACAGCAAGTACTTGGAAGATCCCTGGGTTGATGCCCATAAATGCCACTCTCTCGCCATAGGGCAGATGCAGAGCCATCAAAGGGCATCTTTGAAGAATGAGCTGGCAGCCTTAAGAAAGCAGGCTCGAGGGACTGAATTTTCACCCCAGGTTCTTAAAACTGCTCCCACCTATCTCAGTTTTGTCCCTGGGCTATGCGACACGACTGATGTGTTCTGATCATTTTCATCTAGCAATGGCTTTCTTATTTGCTCTGTGAAAATGCTCTATTTATGCCTTGTCGAGAACCTATCTCAATTCTCAGAAGTGAAGAAAAGGGAGAAATAAAACTGTACAGTGGAAGTAAAAATACCCCATGTAAAAGCACTATGAGGAGAGGTGGGGCATGGGGAGGGGGAATCTGTGCTTGGATGAAAACATTACATGTATCAATACTGTTTCCCTTTTCCATGACTTTGTCCTGAAGGTCTCTCATCATCTCCTCCAATGCTGCACTAATGGGGTTCAGCAAATTACAGCTCTGAGATCTTTGCTTCTTGTTTTGGATTCATATTAGAGTTCTGACTTGTGGTCAGCCAAGCCACCTGATTCCTTTTTGGACCTGACCTAATTTCCGTTGGGCCCCAGACCTATGCACTTATATTAATTTGTGAGGCTTGTCTAGTCTGAGAGTCTCCAGATGGGGAAATTCAGCTTATTCACGCTCTCAAATTTAGTTATATTGAGGAAAGCTTTTTGTTCATTTCCAACATGCCTGCCAGTCCTGCTGCAGACATATAAAGTGGCTGTTTTTCTTGCCACAAACATACAGAGAGTTGGATTTCTCCAGGAAAAAAATCACCTGAACAGCTTCTCATTGCCTCCTCCCACTCCTCCTCTTGGTCTCAGGGTTCTATTTCAGTAAAAGGGAATTTCGAGCTGGAAGTCAACCCACAGAAAAAACATGGGCATGGGAACAGCATGGCATGGAGGGCAGTGAGTCTGTGCCACCATAAACAGCTCTACCAGTAGCCAACTGGGAGATTTGCAGGAATTTCAACCAGCTGTCTGAGCCTCGGTTTCCTTGTGCACAACATGAGAAAACTCATTAGATAACTTAGAAGTCTTTCAAGTTCCATGATTTATTACTGTCGTGGAACAATAAATCCAGTATTATGTACGTAACACACACACATACACACACACACACATCCTAACTCAATGCCCACATGAATCAGTAGCATCCATTCAATATCAACAAGTCTGAGAAAAATGAATGAGTACAGCTCTTGATGATGACATGTCAAAGAATTGATCAATTTTACCCAGTTATGATGAAAAATAACTGAACATTTATCTCTAGGGAATTAGATTTCCTGTCCAAACACCTCTTGTGATATGATTAGGAAGGTAGCCTACCAATTATGTCTGTCAATATTGAGTTTATAGGCTTGGCTACAAGAACTTACCCTTCTCCTAAAATTATTTGCATCATTTGTTCATTTAAAATTTTCTGCAGCTGAAATTTGGACATAAATTAAATAATTATGACCTTCCCTACCTAATTTTATAATGAGACAGCTGAAAGTCTAGGCTAATTTAGTTATCACTATGTAATTTGTCCACTAATAATATGTTTTACCTTTTTCAGTCCAATAATTACCATGAATCAGAAAATTCATCACACAAATAAAGTTTTAGAGAACATGTTATTCTTTATGTACTAACATAAAGAAAGTGACTAACATCACATGTATAGAATACCTTTATTTTCCCAAGGAACTAAAATGGAACTTTCTTTCTAATCCTTGCTATTTGTCTTAAAATTTTCTTATTTTTATGTTTAGCAGCCCCTACTCTCGCAATACATAGTCCTAGAGAGAATTCCAACATTTTGTATCAGATCAAATCAAAGGTGATCTTCTTTAAAAATGTTATGGTCTTACTCCTGTATGACATCTACTTATGGAAGGAGGAACTAATGTATGTGGACTAACTATACTAGAGGCTATTTAAAATACAATGTGCCTGGCAATATATTTTACTTTGTAGTTTTGTATTTTTATACAAAAAAAAAATTTATACATATCTTAAGGAAGTTAGAGGTTTGGCTTATTGGCTCATGGATCTTGAAACCTGGGAGGATTTTTGTCCAACTTATCAGTTCTAGTGCGAGAACCCAGCACTAAGAATGACGAGCTCTTGAAAGGGGTCATGTCCATTGTGGGCACAGCTGCACATGGGAAATGGACCGAAGAGTTTGATCAAATGAATCAGTCTTCAAGGTCATATAATTACTAAATGCAATCATAGGAACTTAGATTCTCTAACTCCTTGTCTTAAGTCTCCTTTTAATGACTTTGAATATTATGAAATTATATATGGTGGCTATTTAGCAAACTCATTCTGTCAAAAAGATGGAGAAAAGAACACATACGGTGATACCCACTCACTTGGTCCTGTGTTACACACGAAAGATACCAAAAGAGTAAGCTTCATGCTATGAATTTTAAATTCTAATAGGAAAAAACAGACAACTTGGATAAATCACAGTTGATACATTCTATAACAGAAACATGCATAGAGAAGTGACAACTAAATCTTGACTGGAATGTCAGTAAAACTTCTCTAAGACCTCAATTTTTTTTTTAGGTTTAATTTAATGATGCATACAGAACTGGGGTACAGGCCAGAGGTGTAGGCGCGGTGAGAGGCTTCACCAGAGACAGAGTGGGGAGCAGAACAGGCAGATCAACGAAGTACACTGCTGAGGGGAGCAGCGGGCGGGTCAGGAGAGGTCTGCCACGCCATGTGGTCTCCTCCAGGGCAGGCGGGAATCGAACTCATGCAGAAGTGGCTTTAGATTCTCAGTGCAGTGCTTTAACCCGCTGCGCCACCAGGGAGGGCCTCTAAGACCTCAATTTTAAAGGATGAATATGTCTTGTCTACACTGATGCCGAGAACATGGCATGTGAAACATTTTACTAAAACCAGCATAGAGAATGAATGAGGGGGAAGAGAAAATAGTAGATTTAGAGGCTAAAAAGGTCAGTTGTTAGGGAGCATTTCTGCTAAGCTTAAGGGTTTAGCAGAGACGACAGAAACACATTAAGTTCTCTGTTAAGCTGTGATCCTTTGGCAAGAGCCCCAGAAAACATTGTCAACATCTGTGAAATGCCAATAATAATGGCACTTCCATCACTGGTGTTTTCAGTATTAATTGGCGATCTACATAAAGCATTGAGTACTGTATTTGGAACCCAGTAACTGCTCAATAAATACTAGTAATTATAACCATAATTACCACTGTATTGTGACAATTACTTTGAATAAAGACAGTACGATGAGCTGTGACTAATCATACTAAGCATTTTATTGAAGAAGATTATTAAGAGATGACTTAAAAGGTGTTGCCTTTAAGGTTTAATTGCTGTGCTGGACAACAATTTATATGCTTTTGCATATCTTCAAAATTATATATCTGCCCACACTTCCCATTTTAAATTTCCTCAGAAAAATTAGTAATTTTCACATAGGCTCACAACTGCATGTCTATGGGAGATAACCTCTTTAAGGATAATATAGTATAGATCCAACATTTACGCTAGGATTAGAGTGCAAGATGAGGAATACCCTGGGATCCCCAAACTTGTATGTTCTAAATAATCTGACATATAAAGACAAAGCATTCTCATCATATGAAAGAACTTCAGCAGGATTAGTATGCAAAGAGAAAAAAGAGAAAAAAGTTTAGTTTCCCCGCAAAACACCCAAAGTTACTCATTCTGTTGTGTGTAAGCGCCCCGCCAAAAAAGGATCAACCAAAAGTTGAACCACTGAGGCCAAAAGCTGGCCACAAGTCTAAACTGCCTTCAGGGGGCAGGGGGGCTGTAAGAAAGGGGCAGGAGGGGTCAGGCGAGTCTGGATGAAAAAAACAAAATCAAAGTCTAAGTCAGGGTCATGGCTGCCATTGTCAGCCTCCCCACTGGTCCCTCACCACATGCTTCCTCCAAGCAGATCTCTACTCCACATGTCTCACTATGTCCCAAGTCCCTGGTGCATATACAAAGCTGAGCAGCAAGCAGGCTTTCTTCACAGCTCTGCTCATATGTCTTCTTCCCAGTCTTCTCCCACTTCTCCCAGCTCAGTTGCGACAGGACAGAGAACA